TATTTTCAGTGTGCAGTACTCACTCACTATCAATCCAGCCTCTGGGTGTGCTACATATCTGTGACCTCCTCCTACCTACACCCAGTACCTAATCTTCCTCAAACCCCTTCACTAAGTCATGGTATTGACAGTCGTGATGCCCAAAGTATACAGATGGGAAGGGTTGTATGTATTTATCTGTAGCCTATCACTGTCACTGAATCATGTCGATCAAACCACAAGAATAGGGGTGACGTGGTGGCTCGGGTGGTTAACACTGCTATCTCACATAGGTAGGGACGTGGGTTCGATCCCACCTTCGTGTTAAATGTTTGTGTGCAGCTTGCACATTTTCCCCGTGTCTGTGCGGGTTTTCCTCCCACAGTCTAACGATGTGCAGGTTAGGCGGGTTGGTTATGCTAAATTGTCCATCGTGTCTAGAGTGAAATACTAAGCGTAGGGGAGGGAATAGGATGTACTTCCAAGAATCGGTGTGGGTTCGAATGGCCTGCTTCCACGGTGTAGGGATTCTATGAAACTCTATTCTAAGGACGCATGTTCATTTTACTTAAAATAAAATGAAACTAAATATTGAACTTTCCCAATTTCCTGCTTTTGGGGCGATTTACTGGCTCTTTATTGCTAGTACTGATCTCGTTATATGGATCTCACGAGGAAACACATGCTTATAATTGGAATTTCATCTAATTGAGTTGGAGGTACTGTAATTGCCTATTAGGTAATTAAACAAATTGGGTGTTTGTTGATCCATCCTCCCACTCTAAATCAATCCAAGTACTTTCTCTCTCTCTCTCTCTCTATATGAGTCAATCAATTCAATTCTACAGGAATCAGGGATCGGCAGCGATCTCCGTTTCTAAATCTGAGCTAAGTACTGTGAGAGAAGTTCGCTACGGTTCATTATAAACAAGAACATGATTTGAAAAATCACATATTCAAGGACGATTTAAGAAGCCATGCGTTCTCTAGTCTGTGGTTACACTACACTTGTCTATGTCCTGTTCATGAAAGATTTTGCTGCATTCTAGAGACTAAAGCCACTCCTTTAACAAGTCGGATTATTCGGGGCATTGCGCGAAAGAGCAATGATTTTACACCTTGCTTGCCGTAAACGCGAGGATCTTCAGGAATGAGGGGAGGGGAAGAGAATCCTTAAACTGAGCAAATTCATCCCGTAACCTATTCGGTGAAATTGACTACATCTTTAACAATGGCGCGCAATTTGGACCGAATTCTTTTAAATGCCAAAATTGTCTAACGAGGATTACAATGGAATTATCCTCGTTGTGAGTTCGACTAAAGACATTCATTTTAAAATGGGTCAACAACTTATTTACATATTTGCGACTTATAGAATCGTACAGCACTGAAATAGTCTCCAACTCGACTAGATTTCCTAAACCGAACTAGTCCCATTTGCCTTCGTTTGGCTCCTATTCCCGACGCCCCCACCCGCCCATCGCAAATAAAAGGCATTTGGTCAAGAAGCGTCCCTACATCTGATCCAGGGGACCCAGGTTCAAGTCCCACCTGATCCAGAAGTGCACAATAACACCTATGAACAGGTTGTCAAAGAGAATAGCTCCAAGACAAGATAGGAGAGAGAGATGACTAAAGGGTTGCTGAAGGAGGAATTATGAGGGAAATAAGGTTACAGAAGGGATTCCCATCTGTCAGGACACAATGTTACTCTCCGTGCGGTGAATCTTGTGTCGGCTAAACAATTGTTGAGAATTTTCTAACAAGAGTGTACATAAAGTATTGAAAAAGCTACCCTATCCCTACGCAACCAAGCCTGGGAATGAGCATCCTTCAAAAAGGACCTGGCTCATGAATCCAGTCCTCAGCTCTCACTGTAGTTACAGCATGCAGCAATCTATCCCTTTACTTATTGCTAATTATTCAGCAAAGTGTCCCTAACCAATAACGTTTTTAACTAAATCCTCACAAATAAATCTTGAACTATTCTGGACATTGGTTTATTTATTCTGCCAATGTTAACGTGATGTGGATTAGCAGGGGAAGGGGGAAAGCTGGCATTTTGGTCAATTTAACTCCTCAGGAACGGGTGCGTTTTAAATTTCGCCGCCGTGCATTGAATGGCCAAAACAAAAATTCTATCCACTGCCTTTTCCAACCCGGGGCGCTAGGACTCGGCGGAAGACAGGCTGAGGGAGACGGTGGGTGTAGGGAGCTGGGAGCTGGTTGAAGCGAGCCGGCCAATGCTCACACTGGACTACCGCTGGCGAGTGGGAGAGCTGGAGACTATTACCCATCTCCCTGACCGGAGCGTCCTCACTACTACCTTCTGTGTAACAGGTTCATTCTTCACAGAGAAGGAAGAAACTGGAGCAGGGCGAGCAGAGGAGCTTTTGGGTCCTAGTGCCGTCGAGTACGTCATTGATGCCAATTGTTTAGCATGTTTTTCAAAAAAAAATCTGGCAACAGTTTCACGCGGCTCTTTTTACGTAAACATTACAGTAAAATCCGATTATTCTCATAGGCAACACTCTTTGGAATTCACTGATTATAAACAATAGAAACCATTTGTCCTTGCACTGGCCATCGTTGTAAGGCTCTCTCAAACTCCCAACCACTTCTGACTTTGCAGAAAGCTAAATTTGAAGTCAAGGGCAGGCTGTCCTCTCCAGTCAGTTCGGGATAGCAGCCAGGATCAGTACAGAAAGCTCGATGCCACTTCCTCACACTCCCAGTCAACTGTTGGCATTACCCGCATCCCTCCAAAAGCTTCAGGGATGGGGGGGTGGGAAACCCCTCTTTTCACACAGGCCGTGTACCCGCTCCTTCCCCAATCTCACACACAACGGGAAAACAGAGCGCCGTCCATACCGATCCGAACACACCCACTAACAGTCGCTTTGGGTCCAGGCTATCTCCCTACAGCAAAGGACACACTGAGTTATACTGGTGTCATCAGTTACAATTGAACAAAATTATCCCCTTTTAGTTCAGAGGAGCACGGTAAATACACCATTGTTTAAAAATAAAGGGAAATTTAAACAAAGTTTCTATCCATACCGACCGTACATCCAGTGCGATGACCACCCAGCCAAGTGTTAGTTTATGGACGAGGGGGGAATCTGGTTCCTCAGGAGGGAACCACACAACAGTTCACCTGAGCGTTATCAAAGGGAAATCTGCCCTCATTATCAAAACAAAAGTTCACTGAAAGTCAGTTTTAAGATGCAAAGTTAGCGATGTATTAAAATAAGGTAGGATTTGGAGTATATGATACTCCCATTACCATTAATCGTCCTAATTACCTCAACGTGGAAAATTGCCCTTTCATCTCGGTAATAGGACAGGTTTAACAGCAGATATTTGTCCTCACCCTCCGCAGCTTGTAATCTAGCAAAGAATCGAGTTTACTTTACGGCCATCGTGATGAAGGCAGTTTTGTAGAGAACTGCTCACACTGTCTTCTCCCAGAAACCGAGCCTGAGTTCTGGTACATGTGTGACAGCCACTGCACTTCCTTCCACTGGATGGAAAGCTGTTACAGGTTTCTGAGAGGCGCGATACAGCTCTAACCTTCAGCACGCGAGAAAGGAAAAGAAAATCATTGCTAAACTCGGATGAATACCGGACTGGCTTTAACGTGGAGCGAGGAGTGTCCGGAAAATGCCCAATCCTCATGAAGGAGTTCAGGTAATGGTCAGACTGGGAGGGGAAGAAGGGAATTCACAAATCGATCTGATCATCTCTCTCTCACACACACATACAATCTCAATGACCATCCCTACATCAAACATACTGACGGACATATTGCACAAATGCTTGGCTAACGCTGCTTCATTCTTCAATAAATCCATGTATTCTTCACCGTATTCTTGGCAAACGGTTCCCTCTGCAGTGATTAACACTTTCACAGGCTCTTCCCGGTTTTCCTTTTTCCCATTTAACAGCACAACACTGGTCCAATTGAACAACACTCACCTGCCTTATTCCCGCAATCCCTTTTCGCCCCGTATCACCCACCTTGGTTACAATCACGATACTCCAACAAACGTGAAGTGGGAAGTGCTCGATGACCGGGTAACGGCGTCCACAGTCGAACTGTTCGGTGAACGGGAGCCCACTGAAGTGAGCAGAAACGTGTCTGGGAAGGGACTTAGCGGGGGCTGTACCATCAGCATTCACTAACTGAACAGGGACATCAATAACCAACCGATAACACAGTGCCGCTCGCTCCAGACAGCGTGCAAGCCCCTGGGGTGAACATACAAGTCCGCGAGTAGGAGAACACTCCCCCTCCCCACCAACAAAAAACCTCCACCTCCTTTCACTGGGTGTGTGAGTACACGCTGTAAACACATTGAGCAGGTGAAAGGGAACGTGAATAGCTACAATCCTTTTCCGCATAGGGTCCGTGTTCTTGCACACCGCGATTTTTTAGTTTTATTGGGAGGAGGATACGGGGGGGTGGGGTGGTGTGTTGGTTAGAAAGCTTCCATTCCGCATTTTACCCCCCTTCCTCCTCAAATATGCTTCCCCCAAGATTGATCTGAGCCGCCTCCAGGGTCTCTCTGATGCGGCACGAGGGGCGGTCTGAGGTTTGTACCTGTAACTAACCCGGGGAAATCCCACATCTTAGACAGAGTGAGATAAAACAGTCATCCAGGAGATAGACGGAGGCATGGAGTTCAGGTATCTGCAGCCAGGATACTGTCGATTCAGGAACCCTGCTGTAGCCCCCGTGCACAGACACACACATACGTCGCGGCTCTTAAATATTGGGGGAAGTAGTGACAGTCAGTAACCAGTCCCCTGGAGTGGGAAGCTGAGAGTGTGTTTGTAGATGGCAGAGAGAGAGAGAGAGAGAAAGCACACTGAATCCACATTGCCACCTGCAGAAAGGTACTCGCAACAAACGGCTGACACCACACAAATACCTCATACCTCACAACAAATACCTCTGTAACAGCAAGATTGTTTCTTTTTTTTCAGGGGGCGGGGAGGTGGAACCAAATATACCTTACCAGGTGCCCAGGATACCAGGAGACTACCGTCTGCATTGCTCACGTCTCGGTGAATTCGACAGCGTTACATTTTCGGTGCTGTGTGTGTGTTTTTTGTTTCAGAACTGGGGGTGTGGGTTGTTTAATATTATTATTCCATTAGTTGCAAATGAGCTTGAAGCCGACACTATTGGCGAAGCCAAACTTCCTATTACAGGGCTGAAATGGTTCAGTCACTGCGCTGGCTGCCTGGTTTGCTTTCGCAGACCGCCGCAGTGACACACACACACATATTCTGCCAAGCCACTGAGACATCGCTACTGAATGCAGGGCAACACTTCAGAAATATTCCGCTTCCCCCACACCCCCATAAAATAAACATAGAGAGAAACCTTTTTTTTTGATCTTCGTCGACTTAAAGCGGGTCCGAATGAAGGCAGGAAGCGAAGGCAGAGTGTCATCAGCTCTCTTGTAGCTCTCTCAGTGATCCACTCGGCAGTACCATTCTAACACTTGAACACTTCAGTGCATTTTGGAAGAGATGGGGGCGGGGGAGAGGAGAGAGTGTAATCGAGGCTTCCCCCAGGGTCTCTGGCCAGGTAGCGGTTTCGCCCTTCAAACCACCCCCACCCCGCCCCCCTCCCGCACCCACTGCTCCTTCTGCCTGCTCTCCCTGCCTTCCAGTAGCTGGAACAGCGGCAGCAACATCAGCGCCAGTGTAACATAGAGAGCGGACCGTCTTTGGACTGGCGTTTCTGGCTCAGACTCATGCACCGAAGATGGGGGGGCGGGGGAATCAATTGCAGACACCAACTTTGTGTAGAATATGTAAAAGCCCAGTGTACAAGTGTGGAGCCTATTTGCATTTAGCCACTGCCAAGGGCGCAGTGAGGAAGTAAAGTGTTTACCTACTTTCAATCTGTCAATGCTGTTGTCACACTACAGTGACGTACCGTTCCCACTAGTTATTCTGTTAATTGTGCTATTTCCAACTCTGCTTCACAGTGGAAAAAAAGTGTTTTTTTTTTCAGAAATAGTATCTGCAATTATGAATTACCCAGTGACTGGCATTTGCACATCATAGCGCTTGCAATTCTTTGTTTAATAACGAACTCCCCGAAACTGTGGGGTTTAAGATCTGGCGACTTCCTATATCTATTTTCCTTGAAATAAACTTTCTGGACCACTCACTCATAATCCCGTTTCCCGTGAAAGAAAATCACCCATCATTGCTACGATGGACCGAAGGAGCTCATTCCGTGCTGTAAATCCCTATGACTTTATGAAGCCATCATGACTATCTCTTTAAAGAGTCAACAATGAGATCCTCAAGGCATGCTATTACGTTCAATTTTCTGGGAAGTTAACCCTTCTTCCAGGAAGAATAGAGTCATGGATTGAGACAGAACCAAAGGAGGACATTCGGCCCATTGTGTTATGCTGGCCCTTTGGAACAGTCCCATTGCCCGTCTCTCCATGCAAAAGAAAAAGCCCTTAGAGTATTAAAGATGTGAATCAAATTACTGATTGATGCTGATAAATCACAGACTACATATCTCAATATTAATGGACACTGGCACCACTTGAAGATACAGTTAGAAGGAGGGGGAAAGTCCCTGTTTTGAGGGTTGAGAGACCCCCAGTTCCAGTGATTCAGTGTTGATCTCTAACACCGCCGGTTCCGCTGTCCTTGCACGGTGACCATACTGTCTGAGCTCCCAACTTAAGACAACCCTACACATTGAGAGAAAGGGACGGGCGTCTTGGACACTTGGAACAACTTGCGTGCATGTTTCAACTTTCTGAGACTCCCCAAACTTTAAAACGGCGTTTCTTCCATCGCTAAATTCCACGTTCTCTCCCTGCCAACATGTTTTAAGGAGCTTCCCCGAAAAAAAAATGCGTTGAGAAAAATACACGTGAGGAAACGCAGCGATTGCATTGGAGATAATGCAGCGTTTGTATGGGAGAACGCGACAGACAGTGTCTGTGTGTGTGTGAGAAAGAAGCAAAGGCTCTCTCGCTGAATCCCTGCATTGCAACGACACCTAGAGGCAATATACAGCTTGCAAACTCAGCAGAAAAGGGTGCTCCTTTAGAGGGGGCCAAGGGAAATTCACTCATTCGGGTCTGTCACTTTAGAGCGACCTGTCGACACTGGGGAAAGACTAACACAGAAATGGCTCTACCGAAAAAAAAAGGCTCCAGCTCTCTAGCCCGGAGCCCTGCTGAAGATAGCGGCCTACCCTCACAGCCAACGTAGTCATTTCTGACATCCTGCCCTTGCACCAAGCAGGGAAGGGTCTAATAGAGTTGAACCAGCAAAACATCACGGCGCAGCTCGCCAGTGTAAACCGGACACATAACACATGTTGGGGAATGATATTTGATCCGCTCCTCGTGTTTAATTGACATCTGTGCACTATGAGGCCACTGAAAATCTTGAATAAAACGTCACTTTTCAAAGAGACGCAGCAACACAAAACGTTAAAGTATCAAATCCGAGAGTGCAACTCGAACTCACTTTATCCCAGCAGAGGTCTGTAAGGGTTCAGACAACGGAAAGACAAATATTTCCCAACACTGGACACGCAGCGAGCGTGGTAGAACTGGTCACTAGCTTCGCCATTGTGACAGAATGAATTGAACGGGTTGTTTGGATCTGCATCAGCCAAACTTCAAGCTTGCATCCCGGATATTCAGTCAAGTATTCATATCCCACGTCGGGAATGAGCAATTGTTCCCTCCAAAGTCCCTGGAGATCTGGATAATATCCAGGCTTGATTCCATGATCTGCTGAGTTTCACCAGCAATTTGTTTTTGTTCCGATATCCAGGCTTGGGCTGACAAGTGGCAAGTAACATTTGCGCCACACAAATGGCAGGCTATGACCATTTCCAACAGGAGACAATCTAATCACTACCCCTTGACATTCAATAGTGCTGCCATCACTGAATTCCCCACTACCAAAATCGCGGAGGTTATCATTGACCAGAAACTCAGCTGGACTCGCCTCGTAAACACAGCCTCTACAAGTCCATCCGTTCTGACTAAGGATCCAGACCCAAAATGTTGACTTTCCTGCTCCTCCAATGCTGTCTGACCTGCTCTGTTTCTCCGGCCCCACATTTTATCAAGCTACAAGAGCAGGTCAGAGGCTAGAAATACTGCAGTGAGTAACTCACTTCCTGACTTTCCCAAAGCCTGATGACCAACTACAAGGCAGAAGTCAGGAGTGTGATTGAATATTGCCCACTTGCCTGGATGAGTGCACCTCCAACATCACTCAAGAAGTTTCACACTATCCAGGACACAGCAGCTTACTTGATTAGCATCATATCCACAAGCATTCACTCCCTCTACCACCAACATCAGTATTAGCAGCATGTACCATCTACAAGATGCATTGAAGAAATTGACCAAAGATCCTTAGACAGCACTTTCCAAATCCAGGCCCATTTCCATTTAGAAGGGCGAGGACAGCAGATACATGGGAACACCACCATATGCAAGTTCCCCTCCAAGCCACACATCATTCTGACTTGGAAATATAGCGCTGTTCCTTCAAAATATCGAGGTCAAAATCCCAAAATTCCCTCCCAAAGGGCATTGTGGGTCTACCTACAGCTGTTCAAGAAGGCAGCTCACTGCCACCTTCTCAAAGACAGTTGGGAACAGGCAATAAATACTGGCCCAGCCAGAGACACCCACGACCAATGAATGAACAAAGAAAACATGTAGAAAACATTACCGGGGGAAGGTCCTGAGGTGGTTGAAGAGTCAATTGTGTTCTGAACTGAAAGATACAGTTGACATGGATTAATAATATAACACTTTGAAGATAAATCATATTAACTTGAAATTTATTTCTCTCTCCACTGATGCCACCATTTCTGCTGTGATTGTCTAGCACTTTCTGCTTTTAATTCAGATTTCCAGGGTCCACTGTATTTTTCTTTTGTAATAATGATTTGATTTGATTTATTTCTTTTGTATCTTTTGGGTGTTTGTTGTGTGTGCCCCATTAAAAGGGCGTTGCATTTTGAGAGCAAGTTGGGATTGAAGGATAGCATGAGAAGGTTGGAAGGTGATGTTGAGATGTTAATTTCTCTTTTGCATTTCCAGTTCTGACAGGCGTGTGTACATTTCCAGCATTTGCTGTTTGCTGTTCAGATTTTCAGGATTCACAGTTCTTTTTATCTCTGCTGTGCCACAGAATTAAACTAATTTATTATCCTCTCTGAGATGGTGCTGCTGACAAAATGGACCTATGACACACTGAGTGTTTAACTCAACATGGTGCCGCATTACTTTCTCATTCTAGTCCAATGCTCTTCCATTCCAAGTTGCTTTAAATATTACAGGGTTATTCTTTCAATATTGTTCCCAATAGCAAATTTCTTGGTGTCATTGACAATGTATTTTTCTCAATGTAAACTATAGCTCTCATAATCACTCCACCCTCAGTTAGACCAGTATTATGTAAAACAAAAATTACATATCACACTGGTCATGATCATCTGACATCCCAAAGCTCTTTACAACCGATTAAATGCAATCACTGTTATAGGAAATGCAGCCACCAAATTGAGCACAGAAAGTTCCCACAAATTGCAAAATGATGACTATATCGATTAAGAGATAAATATTGGCACTGCCTTTATTCAAAAAATTTCCTTACATTCAACAGAAATTCACAGAATTTCTTTACATTTACTTGGATAGGGTTGTCAGATCCTCTATTAAACATTTTATTCAAGCAAGAGCATTTCTGACAATGCTTTATTCTCTCTGTGCAACATTGGACTGTAAGTTTGTGTGGTCAATTCTGGAGTGAGACCTGAAACCAAAACATTCTGGGTCAAAGGATATCAACAATGAGTCACAAGAGTCATAGACTCATTGAGATGAACAATATGGAAACAGATTCTTCAGTCCAACTTGTCCATGCTGACCAGATATCCTAAATTAATCTAGTCCCATTCGCTAGCATTTGGCACATATCCCTCTAAATTCTTGCTATTCGTATATCCATCTAGATGCCTTTTAACTGTTGTAACTATACCAGACTCCACCAACTCCTCTGGCAGCTCATTCCATGACACATTGCACAGCTGCAACATATTCTCATTCAGTAACATTGCTCTCATGCAATGCAATAGTAATCCTGAGGGATGTTTGAGACAGTATCAGTTGTGGTTGAGG